ATACATACATACATACATACATACATACATACATACATACATACATACATATGCTGAGAAGAATATTGCTATATATTCATAGTTGAAATAATCTGCCTTTAGCCTTGGCAGTAACTCATCATTCTCATAGTTACAAGGATCCTCTTTGGGTACAAGAGATCATAAATCTAGATCAGGATTTTTGAACTGCTTACCTTCTGGGCAATATGCTTCAACTGTTACACAACCAATTAAAATGTACTCTGCTAGTAATGTTTAGCTAGTACTTAGATAACATTAAAGGAAGCTTGGCAACCAGACCTCTCTTTCGGGAGTTTCATAAATGGGATTATTTACAAAGAGTTTTTCAAGGTTGTCCATCTATTTTGCTATTTTGCTTGTGATGGTAAATATTCATCTTTATAGATGAATAAGCTAGGACTTAAGCACTTTGAGCTAGGATTGGAAATAAGTCAAAAACACTCAGACTGTAGAATATATTATTATTCAGGTAACATGCTGGTTAACACATTAGATCTTTTATGTGATGGGCAAATAGGTGTTATTTTCAGGAGCACCTATAGAAAGAATGAATTGTAATTTAGATTGAAAGAAATTATCAGGTATATTTCTCTGACAGCCAAGGATACATGTTTGTAAAGGTGACTTCTGTCATATGATCTGCCATAAAACCTCAAAGTTATTTCATCCAGGTAACTGCAAGCACCATTTTTAAATATTTTGCTAATAATATGATCAAGAACTAATTCAATATAACCAGAATGAAAGCTAGGTGCAAAGTTATAATTAAATGAAATTATCTGTATTTAAATTGGAAAAAATCTTAATGGTGTTAAGGAAATTTTTTGAAAGGAATGTAGAAGAATAAATATACATAAGATTTTAATCATTGTCTGGTTATTTCCAAATAAAACCTTTAAACTAACTTTGTTTCAAGACATTTTTCAGCTATTTTGGAGCCAAGCATCTTATTTTAAAGATGCTTGGCAAAACGCAAAACGCAAAAGGAAATATCCTTCTAAGATTTAGACAAGGTAAATAATGTATGACTTCTCATTCTAGATATAGCACAGATGCGGTGGAAATAAACTAAGCTCAGCATGTGAGAGACAGAGAGACTTAGGACAGAGTTGAACATAGTAAACCAAGAATCATTTGTAAACTTAATAATTCAAGAATGTTAGTGAACCCATAGAACCTAGTTGATACGTATTATAACTCCAACTTCCAAAATATGATTGCTAAGCTTGTGAAAGTTAACTTTTTGAAGTATTTGGGACAATTTTAGACAAGAGAACTCTGTTGAATGAAAGAAAAGCTGGTGTATGTCGAAGATATTACCCAAAGAAAGCATGTGTTTTTATGTTTAACTTAAGGGTTATGTTCAGTCAGCCACAGAGGGGTATTCCAGAATGTGTAACTGTAAATAATAATAACTCTCTGCCAACCTTGAGCTAATACAATGATACTGAAGAGTTAACATTGCAATACATGTAATTAGCCCATAGTAGACACAGGTAATCCTTGTTTGGTGACTGCCCTGTTTTAGCAACCATTCACAGAATAACTGTGATGAAAAAATAACTTTACAACCACTCCTCACATTTACAACTTTTGCAGGTCTGTAAAGCAAAGCAAAGCTGGAGTTACATCATAAGCAGAAACATGATTACACTTAACAAGCACCTTGTGTAACGACTAAGTTGCTAGTCCCAATTGTTGCTAAATGAGGACTACCTGTATAGTGGTTTGGTTTTTGGTTCTTTAAATAAATGTAGCTTGCAAGAAACAGAAATAGGTAACACTATATGCTATAAACAGCTCAACAGAAATATTATTTTAATTTAATTATATATCAAGGGCCAGTCCTTGAGTGTGTTCAGTTCACATTGCTTGATTAAATTCAGGAATTTCTCTATTGTTGCTTATGGAGAACAGCATAATATTTTATCAGCATTACTAAAAAAGTGATTAGGACAAATAAGAAGGGGATCAATTTCCACATTAATACGATAGAAGATACATATATTAGAAATGGAATGGCATCAAGGGCCCATTAATATTTTTTTTCTAAATATTCTTTTTCTTGTTAGACCAGACATGTGATCCAACGTAAAGTCTCATATTTAAACTCTAATGAAAGATGGCTTAAAATAAGGTGATTAGATTATAGCTCTAAGAAAAAAGTAAAGTTAGTTATAGAGTCACATTATCGTAACATGTTTGAGATATTATTGTAATATATGTAAAAGCCTGCTCTTCACCCTCACACAAGCACAAAGTCTTCTGTTCTGAGAATAATTTTGTTGGAAACACTGGAGGCATTTTAAAGCAGCCTAACTAATTACCGTATATACTCGAGTATAAGTCGACCCGAATATTAGCCGAGGCACCTAATTTTGCCACAAAAAACTGGGAAAACTTATTGACTCGAGTATAAGCTGAGTTTTTCAGCACATATTTTGTGCTGAAAAAAAACCCCTCGGCTTATACTCAAGTGAGATTCCCTCTGAAAAAAAAAATGGTGTGGAGCTCCGGAGTTGGGCAGCCGCTTCCCTGCTTCCGTGTTTCCTTTGCAACTTGTAAGCATGGGGGTAATCGGAAGCAGAAAAGTTCTTGCATGAGGATATATTGTTTTTTTCTTTATTTAACTGTTTTTATGAGGGGGGGGGAAAGACCCACCGTCTTGTGAGAATGCTCAGACACAAAATCTATCCTCCTGAAAATAAGTGTGTGTGTGTTGGGGGGATTTTAACAGAGGGAAGACATAGGCAAAAGCGACGGAAGATCCTTCAGGGGAAACTGAGGGGGAGACTCACCCTTGGTCCAGATGAGCCCCCTTCCCCACCCCTAAGGAAGCAGAGGCAGCCAGCAAGGGCAGGCAAGCCCCGCTTCGCGGACTCCATCCATCCTCGCTCCCACCCACCCACCCAATGCCATGAAGTCCCCCAATCGCGCAGCCCAGAATCGCCCTCCCCTCAGGGGGCAGCAACGACGCCCAGTGTTTCCTGAAACAAGAAGCTCCACCCTGCAATGAAAGCACCCTGGCTCTAGGCTCAGAAAACAATGCAAGCCGAGGTGGCTTCATTTCCTCAGCCCTAGCTGCTTTCAGTCCACTCAGGAGGCTGAGGGGGAGGAGGAGGTGGTGGCAGCGGCTCGCGTTGTTTTCTGGCTCTAGGCTCGCGATCGCAGAAAACAACGCGAGCCGCTGCCGCCACCTCCTCCTCCTCCCGAGCGTACTGAAAGCAGCTAAGGCTGAGGAAACGAAGCCACCTCGGCTCGTGTTGCTTTCTGAGATCGTGAGCCTAGAGTCTAGAGCTCAGAAAATAACGCGAGCCGCTGCCACCACCTCCTCCTCCCCTTCCTCCTCCCGAGTGGACTGAAAGCAGCTAGGGCTGAGGAAACAAAGCCACCTCAGCTCGCGTTGCTTTCTGAGATCGCGAGCCTACAGCTCAGAAAATAATGCGAGCCGCTGCCACCACTTCCTCCTCCCCCTCCTCCTCCCGAGCGGACTGAAAGCAGCTAGGGCTGAGGAAATGAAGCCACCTCGGCTCGCATTGTTTTCTGAGCCTAGAGCCAGGGCACTTTCATTGCACTGCGGAGCTTCTTGTTTCAGGAAACACTGGGCGTCGTTGCTGCCCCCTGAGGGGAGGGCGATTCTGGGCCGTGTGATTGGGGGACTTCATGGCTTTGGGTGGGTGGGTGGGAGCGAGGACAGACGGAGTCCGCGAAGCGGGGCTTGCCTGCCCTTGCTGGCTGCCTCTGCTTCCTTAGGGGCGGGGAAGGGGGCTCATCTGGACCAAGGGTGACTCTCCCCCTCAGTTTCCCCTGAAGGATCTTCCGTCACTTTTGCCTATGTCTTCCCTCTGTTAAAATCCCCCCAACACACACACACTTATTTTCAGGAGGATAGATTTTGTGTCTGAGCATTCTCACATGACGGTGGGACTTCCCCCCCCCCTAAAAACAGTTAAATAAAGAAAAAACAATACATCCTCATGCAAGAACTTTTCTGCTTCCAATTACCCCCATGCTTACAAGTTGCAAAGGAAACACGGAAGCAGGGAAGCGGCTGCCCAGCTCCGGAGCTCCATACCATTTTTTTTTCAGACGGAATCTGATTCAAGTATAAGCTGCGGGGTTTTTTTTCAGCACAAAAAATGTGCTGAAAAACTCGGCTTATACTCGAGTATATACAGTATTATGTTTTGTCATCAACTGTGAATCTCAGTAGTCACACTACATTAATACAAAAATAAGATTATGTTCCACTGACACAAATATATACAGAAGAACACTGTGGATGGGAAATATATAATTTGGGTTTTTGACCATTTGGAACCACTCTTTTTTTTAAAAAAATCTTTTTTAATTAGCATGTGTGAATTTCTAATTACAGACCATGAAATATCAATGTTTTCTTTAGATCATAAGGGTTTACAGTAATCAAATGAAAAAAATATTTGGAAAAAAAAATATCTCAATTGATATCATATCATTCCAAGTAAACAGAAACCATAAAAGGTAACAAGGTAGTTGCATCTCCATAATACATTATACCAGTAGTTTTCCAAGTATAGTCAGGGATCCACAAAGTCAAATACCTTAATATTTCTCAGTTTTTTATATATGAGATTTTTATATTCCTGTAAGTCGCCTTTGAGTCGCCATGTGCGAATAGGCGGCAATCTAAATTTCCTAAATAAATAAATAAATAGAAAGTACGGAGTATTCACTTTAAGGCCTAATGTGGTTTAAAGGTTGAAGCAGATTGAAAAAACACCTCTTTCTATTTGATTCCCAACACCACCCCCATTCAACTGAGGTTGTCCGAGAATATTTGCCTCCCTTTGTCACATGGGTGACCTGGAGCCCAAGTTCTTTGGAATGTGCTCGCATCTGAGTTTTGGTATAAGTTGTGTGTGTGTGTGTTCTGTTTACGCAGTATTCAAAAATACTTTTCAAAGCACATTAAAGAACCATATTCATTTTTTATAATTCATCATAGCATAATTCCTCACCTGTCTAATGTGTTATGAATTCACATCCGAATGCTTCCATCCTGGTATGGCAAGACCCAACAACACTAACATACCAAACCACAAAATCAGCATTCCCAGAATGTTGGCAAACCAAGCCTCTGCAGGAAGCTGGGAATACGGTGTTGTTGAATTTGTTCTAAGAAAATAGTCAAACAAAGTGTTTGATGAAAACTAGTTCAATTCACATATTTCTGCAAATATCCAAAAAGAAGGGAATGCTTGGAATATATTAATAAACTTTTTAGGCCATGGGTTCTTCTGTAATCATGAGACTTTATCTACCAGCTTTTTTTGCTCTTGCAGGCTTCCAAATATTTACTAGTGATGTCATAATACAAAACCTCGGCATTCTTATGGTATCCGTTCCGAGCAGATCTCCATACATTAGTTCCATTTTTACTTGCTATGTTGGAAAAACTAAATATACAAGGGTTGGTAATATATCTATACCAGCTTTCCAGATCCCTGAGTCACCAGGAGGTGTTAAACCTTCTCTTCTGCAACTTCTAAATATGAAAGGTGCAAAATTGGAGGAAACTGATGTAGACATTTCAAGAAAAATGCTTGCCACAGGGAACTCATTCCTAAAGGCATCCCTGTAGCTGGATTCTGGGTGCCTGGTGAGGCTTTAGGAACACTCCCCTTCATATTTAGAAGTATTTTGGTTACTGCCAAAATCCATAACAATTTCAGTCCAGATCAGCTTGAGTTTTCTTTCCTTTTTTCTAGATTGAAATTAATAAGACAAATTAACTTGTCACCTCAGAGATTACTTGTTTCCTCAGAATCAAAAGACAAAACACAAAGACCCATTTCACCATGTGCTGATCAACCCATAACCAAATTCCATTACTCACAATCTCATGAATAACTTCTCATTAATGCCTGAGATGCAGGATGCAGTAGACAAGCCAAGGATGACAGAACCAAAGAAAAGATGGACAGGTCTGTAGAGGACTAGGAACCAGATGGGCGTCCAAGGCAACAGAAAAGAAGCAAATCCCATTAACCACTGGAAAGAAGAGACATAAATTAGAAATCTTACATTATAGTACCTGGATTGTACCTGAGCCTATACAAATTTACTTCTACATGGTTATCCGTGCCACTGTCATAACATAGTGATAAGAAGTTCTTTTTTCCTCTCATCTAATTAAAAAAAAAAGATCTTCAAGCACACATGGACACAACATTTGTGAAAATATGATTATTGTATGTGATTCCATCTCTCACAATACGTGTTCAGCAGGCAACGCATTACATATTTCTTTAGGTAACACATTATTCATATGCATAATTTTTTGGTTTAATCACAAAAGAGATAGCCACTTACCCAGTAGGAGAAAAGTAATCTCTCTGTTCATAGAATTAATTTCTAGTGACAAGAAACTGAGGACACACAAGATACATAAAAGTACCATCATGGGATATATGTATGTATATATGTATCTATGTATGTATGTATGTATGTATGGTATTCAGCTTTGTTTGGGTATTTTCCCACGTCATTATAGTTGTGCTTTTAAAGTTGTAGCAATGTTTCGGCAGAATCTCATCTGCCATCATCAGGCTTCTGTATTGTGTTCGTCTGTATAGTGTCTTGTATATATAATCCAAGACAAAAAAAGTCACAAAACAGACAGAAGATATTAGAAACACCAATCAAGTAGAACACAGCAAACTCCAAGACCAATAAACACAGACCAAGACTCCCAACCAATCAGGATGAAGAAAAAACCATTCTGGCACAGCAGTAGGCTAACCCCAAATTTAAAACTGAAACAACTGTAAAAGTCTGACTCACAGATGAACACAATACAGAAGCCTGATGATGGCAGATGAGATTCTGCCAAAACATTGCTACAACTTTAAAAGCACAACTATAATGACGTGGAAAAATACCCGAACAAAGCTGAATACCATACATGTAAGTACACATGAAAACTTAAGAATATATATTTCCCACGTCATTGTAGTTGTGCTTTTAAAGTTGTAGCAACGTTTTGGCAGAATCTCATCTGCCATCATGAGGCTTCTGTATAGTACCCGCAAAGTACCCGCGAAAACTTAAGAAAACACACACACACACACACACATATATACATATACTTTTGACATAAATCAATCCATTGATATACTCTTACCTACCTGGCATGAAAAAAGTAGTACAGCAGTGAGCCCAAGCCAGCTGTGTAGAGAGTACATGTTGGGGATCTTCTGCACATTGTGAAAGTTGAAAACTACCTCCAATCCCAAAATGGCAGAGATGAATGCTATCAAAGTAAGTGTTGCATGCAGCACCTTCCGAGAGAGCAGGGAACCCATTTGGGAAAAGGGCAAACGGTACACTAGTGCTGCTGCAGGGGAAAAAGGGGGAAACCATCAGAGCCAGGTGAATCGATCTAGCACTGTCGCCACTTAAACACCAAAAGGAGAGGAAAAGGACGGAGAAAATTTTTTTTCACTTACCTATACCATATAAGATCACCATGCCTGTCACCATGAGAACTGGGTGCCAATTAAACATCTTACGAGAACCATCCCAGGCAAAGCCGCCAAGCCAGTGCTGACTCCAATATACTGTAAGCCCCAAACACAAGATGCTCAGATTTCCCACAAGGATTGAATATGGTAAGAATGGAATTGTAGGCATCTCAATGCTACTTGGATGAACACCTGAGAAAATAAAGCAAGATACCAGAAACTGAACAAACAGTTCAGGTTATTGATAAGAAATTAAATTCCAAATCTCTTCTGCCAGCTTTCGATTCTTCTTAGTCAATGTTGCCTTCACCCAACTCCAAATGTCATTGCTTTCCGCTGTACAGCACATGCACTTCAATTTTACTATTTTTATCATTATCACCCAAGGGGGAGGGGCTAGAGGGAATGGGCTAGAGAATATAGTTTAATGTATTTACCCATTAAAATTCATTGTTCAGAGAACAAAGTCTCAGTATCTCTGGGCTGATTCTACCTGGGTGGCAATATGTACAAAGCTCAATTGCTACCATCAGTTTAATTAATGGGATTATCGTATTTTTTAAGTCCAGAAATGCTATGTACTCATATCACTAAATATCGTTTCTAGGGGAACTGATGAGTTTATTGTACAAAGTCGGGGGGGGGAGGAAGCCCTCTACAGATATTGCACCTGTAACCTCTGCTTCTTGAGAAGGCAACAGTCATGACTTCACTTCATTGAATTTGAAGGAACCACAATAATCCTAGTCAGGGAGTGTAACACTGAAAGCCTTAATCAGAATAAAAGCTAATTTATGTTTGCTTTGTATGTCAATGAATTTAGGTAGCAAAATTCTAGTGCAGCCAAATTAATCTGGCTCAGCTCCTGCACACATTCTAGTTTATGTTTATTGCCTCTTTTTTCCTGATAGAATTGTAGATTAATTGAATTGGAAGGAACCACAATAACCCTATAGCCCGGCCCACTGCAAAACGCAAAAACACAAACCAAACATGAGAAATGGTGGTGCAGCTTTTTGGGGAGAGAAAAAGACTCTGAAACCATCATATGCTTCAGTGCTGTATAGATTTTCTGTCAATAATTTTTTCCTGGTTTTTTTTAAAATAAAATCTAAGCAGCTGCAACTCAATTAATTACTTCTGGTTCTAGTTTCTCAGCCATAGAAGACTTGTCAACCATATTCTGAATAAAATCTTTTTATATACCTGTGGAGGGCATAGAGAATGGTCTTGAAAAAGAGAAAAAAAATGGCTACCTAGTCAATGGTCAAATAAGAGGGGCTTGAGCTGGACCAAGAAAATAATGTGAATAAACATCTCACGTGGGCCCCTCACTAGTTCATCCAAAGATAAAGTGAGGAAGAGGAGAAGCACATTCAGACTCGCAAGATTCTGTTACTAAAACTGCTACAATAAAAGTACTGATGACCGATGTGGCATCGATTCTCAGCCTGGTCTACCTTGTAGGACTGACAGTACCTAAAAACGCTTTTTAAAAAATATTCCTTCTATCTTCTCTTCATTTGACAGTCTTTCAACAGATATTTGGGGAGTTGAAACCTCCCTCCCCAAAACCCTTTCATGGTTTTCTAAGGTTTTGATTATTTGCCAATAACCAATAAATCTTTATTTCAATGTATATAGTCACCCATCTCAACAAAGCTAATACATAGTGGTGGTGCAGTGGTTAGAACGCAGTACTGCTGGACTAATTCACTGCTCACTCCAGGAGTTTGATTCTGGCAGGTTCCAGGTTGACTTGGCCTTCCATCCTTCCGAGGTTGGTAAAATGAGGACACAGATTGTTGGGGGCAATAGGCTGACTCTGTAAACCACTTAGAGACGGCTGTAAAGCAGTGTGAAGTGGTGTATAAGTCTAAGTGCTATTGTTATACATCACAGGTGTCAAACTCAATTGTGTCATGTGACATCACGTGCCGTATAACTTTTTTGCCTTTGCAGAACCTAAGTGGGTATGGCCTACGTGTGGCACATCCAGCCCACAGGCCACCAGTTTGACACCCCTGCTATATGTAATTGACAGCCATGGTTAAAAAATCAAAATAAACAGCAAACAAATCATCAGTTATTGCACAGACTTTGCCATACATCCAGAAGCTCAAGCTCTGTGTCAGAAACATGTCTTTAAGGCCTTACAGAAGCCCAGCAGAGTCAGGGCTAATCTGATTTCACAGGCAAGACTCTACCTCTTCTGACTGGTTTTGAGTCAACATGCAAGCTACCTTCCTGTTAGCTTGCCAGATACTGTCCATGCTCAGGCTATTACCGTACCAATCCAATGGATATATGTAAAGTTAATTTACAACTAATTAAGCTAATTCCCGACTATATAATGCTATACCATGTCCACTTTGTACTGCCTGTTCCTTTAACAAAAGTACTTATCAAGATTAATGTTCCACTGATTGGATTCATTCCACTGTTTCTGTAATCCCTATTATGTATACCATACTTGTCTTTCTGCCTCATGATCCAGATCATCCATTTTTACCTATACTTTATCATTAGCATAGAGCAGGCCTGCACAATTTGCAGCCCACCAAGCTGCTTTGTGCCAGCGTTTGTGGAAAAACAGTCAATCCACTGCTGCCAACAAGGTTTTTGCAATAATTTCCAATCCAAAAGACACGTTGTCAAATATCTCCAGCCTTACAGACATTGCTAGTTGCATCACTGCCAATGGGCTGCCAGCTGTTCTCTGGCCTACAGTTACTTTAAAAGTATTAATCTGCCACTTTTGACTTCCAGAGAGTTCTGCAGATCTGGTATAGGGACATTTCAGATAATTAGGATAGCTTCCCTGTGTTTCTTTTTCCTTTATGTCTACCTTGCTTTGTAAAACTGGCAATTCCCAAATTATTTCACTTTGCTGCTGTATTCATTTCATTTACTTGGCAATTGTTTACTCATCACTGGTCTTACAATTTCCACTGACTCTAGTTTAAGAGCCTCCTAGCTAGATTAGCTCTCCATCATCAAAAATGTACTTTCTCAAGGGGTCTTCTGTTTCTAAAGGGTCTTCTATGAAATCACTCTTGATATGCTGGAGATTATGCCTTGCAGCATAATTTGTGCCCCCATGGGTTGAGCACAAAGGTCTATGATCAGCAGTTTATACGAATTCCATCAGTCTTTCCATCACATTTCATATTTGGACATGAGGGAGACATTATACATGACAAGATGAAAGATTTCAATGATAAAAGGAAGCTTCAATGCCTCAGAAAACGTCAGCCGCAACAACAGTCTTTGTTTTCTTGTCTATAAATTGTGACAGATTACTGTTACTCTGATCCAGTGACAAGAGTTTTTGCTGTGTGAGTAATTTGTAGCTGTCTTACCCGTATAGGTGAGGTTGAAATTGGGTGCCAAAGTTTAGAAAATGAAGAGTTTTGTGGTTGTTCTGATAGTAATTTATTGTCAGTTGTTTTTATTTCCATCATTTGGGTAAATTATAAGCTTCACATTGCTCTCCCACTTGCAGCATCCACACTACTATTCAATAAGTGCTAAGTGCGCTCTCATAGAATCGTTAGGAAAATTTTTGGAAACCCACCACTGTTTCTAATGAAGCAGACCGCGCAAACAGCAGATCCAACAACTAGTAAGTGTGCGGCACTCTCCTGGGGAAAATAAAGGAACTTTGTCGATTCGCCAATCAAAATCCCAGGAAGACCGAAATTGGCAGAAAAAGAAAAAGCAACAGCAAATAAAATCTTCTTGCGTAAAATACCAGTAGGAGAATATGCTATACTCCTTTACAAGAATGAGCATGTGGTTGACTGACAGTCACAATGATTGCCGATATTAAAGAGTATTATTACTCTCTTCCTCAGTCCAATTACAACGAAAATGCACGCCGCTTTCATACCTCTCTTCCGCCTAAGTCGCAGAGAGAGTCGGGAAAAGTAGTTCCAGACCTCAACAGCCAGACCTCAAAACGGTCTTCGCTGCTCATTGAGGACGAAGAACTTAAGCCCTCTGTTCGTTCTTGAGTGGAAACCCGCCCAATGAACATTTCCGACTGCTTTGAATGTCTGGGAAATGTAGTTTTCTTATGCACACGTGCGGTTTGGAGCAAATCTCCTTTTCTGGAAGATTTAAGTTATACCGCCTTTTTTTCCCGCGTCTTCGTTTATTTTTGTCTTTAGTACTTTTTTATTGATGTGTGTGTGTGTATAAGTGAACTGCAAGCTTCCTGAACAAATTCAGTCTCCACACAGCCTTCAATTGCCTGCCATGCACATGTTAATTGCAAACAAGTAGATAAATAGATGGAAATGTTTTTCACACACTAATTGAAAGATTAAGATTCCTAGCATGAATTATTAGCTGTCTCATTATTCCTAGCATGAATTATTAGCTGCCTCATTATATGCCTAAATCCAGAAGCTGAGCTTCCATATTACAGAAAATATAATGTGGCTGGTTTATTTTGGGTTATGATGATTCAATAAAGTGAGCTGCACTTCACAAAAGCCTTTTAATAAAATTTGTTAGTCGGAAAAGATAGTACCGATTTTTAGTATTAGAAGTGGACTACATTTACAGGACTGCATTACTGTTGTTATTGAACTTGTGCATCCCCCGAATTTCCAACTGATCTGGACGGCTCACATAATTGTTGCTGCACTGAAATTACAACAAAATATAAACAAAGATAAAACATGGTAAGCATGTGGAAGGCTATTTGCGTTGGCCAAATATTATTTTCAGTATCCTCATGGAGAAAGCCTGTATGATCGCCAGGAATCGAGAATGATTTGATGGTACATGAACAAAGCAAACATTCAATGGGAACGCGAAAAGAAATTCCTATTCCATAGAGCCCATTGTTTTGCTTAATGATGGAGAAAAAGCGGGAAGTTCTTGCCACGTCAATAGCACCACCCTCCTTAGGCTGCTTGAGGATAAAGACGATGGTTTGGTCGGGAAAGCACCCAACCATCCCGAAGTTACTCCTCGGTCTCTAGGCATCTATGATCTCTGCGGCCCCGGCTGCACTTCCGGGCCTGCTGGCTCCGGCGCCTCCTCCGAGCCGCTTGCGCTATCGCCATGGGGACCGATTGTGGCGGCGCAAAGTAACTGTCCTGCGTCGTTTGCTCTTCGTCGGGGGCTGCCTCGCTCCCTCCGGTTTTTCGTGTCTTAACACGACCAGGAGCTGTGTTCGATTCCCGAAAAGGTGTAAAGACGACTCCCAGGAGCCTCCGGTTGAAAGGGCTTGT